AGAGTAAAATCCAAAACAAAATTAAACGAGAATGTACATTTTTTTTTCATTTGCACTCCCATGCATTTGTGCCAATACAAATAAAATTGCACTGCAATCAAACGCAGCCTAAAGAACAAATGGAAAATCGAGGGAAAAGTTCTGAAGGAATTTTCTGTTTGTCTCTTATTTTCCATCAAACCAAAATGTAAATTGCTTTGTTTGATAAAACAAGATCTAACATAAACCACCGTTTGGTTTCTTTTGCAAGCAAACAGCTTTGCATTTCCTATATTCAATAAATTAATTTGGTTTCATTTAAGGCTTTTATTTATTAAGTAAGCCTACAAAAGTGACTTCTATTTGACATAAGGACAAAGTTATCTATATTCTAATGTACTAAAGGTGGTTTCTTTTCTTCCATGTTTTACCTTGAAAGCAATTATTATAAGTACTTTAACCCTTAAAAGGGAATAACATCATGCATGGTAAGGCTGCCCCTAAGGGTATCTTTTAATATAATAATACCTATTTTGGTACAACTTCCTTACATTTTCTTTGGAAATTAGTGAAAATGTAATTGTCATAGTTAAATTACAGTGGAGCACTTATTCATTGATAAATTTGTATATGTATGTATATATGTAATGGTTTGATCTACTGAAATTTGTTTACTAGCCAAAAAAACCCCAACTTTATGAAATCAGCTGAGGGTGATTCAAATTTGATCTATTATTAACTAGATCAAATATGGATCCATCTCTATGGGGTCAAATTATTTTAAATTTATATGTTTATATATAAATTTCATTATATCTATTAATAAAGTTAGTTTAAATCTTGTATGTTTAAGTTCAATTCTCATAAAAGTTATTTCCGTTTCATTGAATTCATGACACAATATAATATTAAATACATATTTAGCACATTTGTATTAATGGTATATATTATTTTAATTTAATTTATTAATGGGATTCAATAAAAATAGTGAGACTTAAGCCATTTATATTATAGTAAAAAACCGTATTATTTCTTGATGCAGTATATATCATTAAGGGTATATATACCAAAATATCAGCCTTAGGCTTGAGGGCAATGGCACAGATGTTTTGACATGAAATTTGTTTGGTTGGCATTTATGCTGAGCAAATGTTTTGAGTAATAATGTGCTTAGTATTGACATTGCTAATTGAAAGGCTTAAATAGTTGTACTTGGTTTGGTTTGAAAGAAAAGGTAGGGAAACCTATAAAAGTTGGTACCAGCCTCCTTTCCTTTTCTTTTCTTTTTCCCATATTTTTCTTCAAACCAAACACAACCAATGTTTATATTCAATGTGACACACCTTATAACATTGATCTCTCATCCAATTGTCAAATTTAAAAATAAATATTTTTGACTCATAGATTAATATATAGGTGCAGATCTAACGGTTTTAGAAGCCTAGAACCAAAAAAAAACCTTTATGTGCATTCATCTTTGTTAATATGTGACGCACTAGAGTATTTCCCTACACTGTCAGGTAAGATGCCACAAAAGCCAGTCATTGGACTGTTTATTCAAATGGACTGCTGCCAGAGGAAACATCAAAGTCAGAAGGCGAGGTAATGGAGACATGGAAGACATGGAAGCATTTTAAGCAGAAACAGCCAAACATAACAAAGTGATTACTCTCCTGCTGCAGCTGAAGAGGACACAACAGCAATGACAAACAAATGAGTCCGGATCACCTGTAAATAATAGCTCTCATATCGCACATCTGTCAATTCATTAATGACCTAGTTATATAAAATTAAATGGTTGGGATCAACCCAATTCGTCTTGACCCAATCTAATCCGTCCAAATCTATTAATTTTATATTTACGTAGTTAAAATTAAAAATTAACTCTCATTTGACAAATAAGCTGATCATAGCTTAGTGATAATAATAGTTGTTATTTACCCAAGTGGGGAAGGTTCAAGTTACATGCCATATTATATTTACACAAGTGGTGAAGCCATTTAAGTATGTTTGGTTTTGATTGAACCACTTACGTTCAAATTAGTTAGACCGATTTGAACTTTCTAATTGGATTGTCTTCGAGCTAATCATATCAAGAGTGGTTGAACCGTTTGGATTTAGATCAATCCAGTCCGGTTCAATCAATGGCGAATTGATTTGGACTAGCCATATTAGATTATGCACGAGTTTGGGACCGAACCGACTTGTCCAAAGTGGGTCAAGGGAAACTGATCAGGTTGGGTCAGTTCATCGAAAATCGGGCTAAAGCATGCAGTTCATGTTTCGGGTCGGATTGTCCCGGGTTTGGGTTGCGCTGGTTCATTTGCAGCCACTTCAGATTTGGGTCGGTTCAGATCGCCCTATCTAGATCAGGTTGGTTCCAAACT